AGGCAGAGCTGTATTTGTTTGCTGAGATGCAAATAAGCAATGCAGACCCATTACAGTTTCACCCTGAGAACCTCTATGGGGGCTTAAATAACTTTGCGATCAAATAAGATGGCCACAGAGCTCAACTCTGTTCTGCTCTGATAAATGAAATGCTTGAGACCTGGAGACAGACTGTGCAGCTACTGCACCATAATGGACATAGGAATCAAGATAAAAACATCATGAATAGGACTTCTGTGAGTTTAAGAGAGTTATAAGAAGCATTATGTTCCTTAACAGAACCAGATCACCAAACCAAGAGCTGCCTGGGCTACCTGCAGATACGTGTCTCCATACAAACGAGGCACGTAGAGCACAAAGGCTTTAAGTAAGGCTGGAAATGTGTGCATGTAGGGGGCACAGAATCACAGAATAGTTAAGGTTGGAAAGGACCTCTAGAGATCATCCAGCCCAACCCCTCTGCTCCAGCAGGGGCACCTAGAGCACATGGCACGGGGTGGCATCCAGGCGTGTTTTGAAGATCTCCAGAGAAGGAGACTCCACAACCTCTCTGGGCAGCTTGTTCCAGGGCTCTGTCACCCTCACAGGAAAGAAGTTCTTCCTCACACGGAGATTAAATTTCCTATGTTTCAACTTGCACCCGTTACCCCTCGTCCTGTCACCGGCCACCATGGAGAAGAGCCTGGCCCCATCCTCCTTACATCACCCCTCAGGTGCTTGAACATGTTGATCAAATCTCCTCTCAGTCTTCTCCAAACTAAACAGGCCCAGCTCGCTTAGTCTTTCCTCATACAACAAATGCTCCAGTCGCTTAATCATCTTTGGAGCTCTATGCTGGACCCTCTCTGGAAGCTCAATGTCCTTCTTGTACTGGGAAGCCCAGAACTGCACCCAATACTCCAGGCACAGTCTCACCAGAGCTGAATAGAGGGGCAGGATCCCCTCTCTTGACCTGCTGGCAACTCTCCTCCTGATGCAGGCCAGGACCCCATTGGCCTTCTTGGCCACGAGGGCACATTGCTGACTCCGGGTTAACTTGTTGTCAACCAGGACTCCCAAATTCCTCTCCGTGGAGCTACTTTCCAGCAGGTCAACCCCGAATCTGTACTGGTGCCTGGGGTTATTTCTCCCCAGGTGCAGGACCCTGCACTTATCCTTGTTGAACATCATGAGGTTCCTCCCTGAGCAACTTTCCATCCTGTCCAGGTTCCTCTGAATGGCAGCACAGGCCTCAGGAGTGTCGGCTACTCCATCCAGGTCGGTATCATCTGCAAACTTGCTCCAGGTGCACTCTGTGCCCTCGTCCAAGTCACTGATGAACAAGTTGAAGAGCACCAGGCCCAGTACTGACCCTTGTGGGACACCACTGGCCACAGGCCTCCAACTAGACTCGGCCCCATTTATCACCACCCTCTGGGCTCTGCCACCCAGCCAGTCCTCAATCCACCTCACTGTCTACTCGACCAGTCCACAAGAGAGCTGGTCAGAAGAGACCAGGGGCAGCGGAGAAAGAAAACAGGATACCAGTGAAACTGAGGAGGAGGTGGCAAGCCAACACACCCAAAATTGCTAGGGAAGACTAGGAAAGTGAACTTTCAGGCTAAGGGCTGGCCGAGAGGGTGCTTGAGCTATGAATATATGAATATAATTACTGAACTGATTGATTTATGTGACACTCAGGGGACCTAGACTTTTTACATCCTTTGCACAGCCTGAACGACATCATGGAAAGCCTTCATTTTACCATCCGGTTCTCTTAGCAATGAAGACCATATTCCCCACCTGTCTGGATCCAGAAAGTTTAGCGATATTTCCAAACTACGAGTGGTCCAGCACCAGGAAGCAAGCGTGAGCATTGTTGAGAGTGTGATGGATGTGTGTTGGGCAACACAGCTCACACAGCTGTGTTGCCCAAAGCAATGCTTATGGCCTGTGGGGTGGAGAGGCAGACCAGCTCTCTTTCTGCTCTCTCCTGCTGATGCTCTTTGGTCAGCACCATCCTGGAGATGAGACCATGCACTCCTGCTCCAGCCACGAGGGGCCAGGTAATGGCAGCCTCTTCACTCACAAGACCCTTCCAACAGCTGCAGCCCACGACATGCCAGAAGACCTCCGAGCTCTGCCTTGTCCATAGTTCCTGGCCTCAAGGAGGTTGACTCATAGTCTGGACAGGACAGTCTCCAGCAGAGGTCAACACAGAATATGCCGGAGAAAGCCACAACATCCCCAGAATTGCCCTTACTTGCCCAGAACTGTTTCGTCAGCGTGGTACCTTCCTGACCTTAGCTGACCATCAGCTCATAGCTTAGACTGTGAGAACCTGACCCTGCTGCCCCAGCTAGTGAGAAGTTTCACAGTGGAAGAGGGAGGCTCTTACCTGTTTTTCCTGAAGCGAATTGTGAAGACAAGAAAGAAGAGGGCTAGCAGGACTCCTCCTGTCAGGAATGTCCACACGACTCCCAAGAGAGCAGCAGAGAAGGATGGGGAGCTCTTTCCACTGCGGTCAGAAGATGTCTGAGGAAAGGCAAAAGGGGTGAGGAAGAAGTAGGCATCGCTGCAGCTCCCAGAAAAAGAGATCTCCTCACTGACATGCTCTCTTGCATGTATCCTCCTGAAGAACTGGAAGAGACTTGAAAGCACATCTCCCAAGCCCCTCATCGTGACCAGACATCCTTATGCTGACAGGGCTAGCGAGCTGTGCACAGACAGCACACAAGCTCTGCTATACTCGACCCATGCAGTGTACACAGAAGGAGAGAGCAGTCCCACCACATTCAAAACACACCACATTCAAAACATACTTCCCTGCTATGCTCCCTTTTGGAACATCTCTGGGAGCCCTCCCTTCTTACAGGTAAGTATCCAAACCAGTCATGAAGCCATGCACATAACTCAGGTAGTCCTGGCCGTGAGAATGGGCAAACCAGGAGACTGTTCTCGACCATTGCTGGGAGGAAGCCAGTGAATCTCGGGAAAGGACCCTCTGGAAAAGGACCCTGCAGGTCTCCAATTTCTAGCTCACCTCTTCGGAAAGAAAGACAGGAAGACTTCTCCTGTGTCTAGGAGAAATTGTCCTTTACCCTCACCTCCCAGCAGACAATCAGCTGGTTGATTTTACCAGGTGTCAGTAATACAGCTGTCAGCTGGCACAGGGGAAAAAAAAAAGAGAGAGAGAGAGAAAAGGAACCACAACAATATTATTCAGATGTATCATGTAGCAACAAACTGAGCTGGGCTCCATTTGCGCCCCAGCCCTTCAGAAACCAACCTCGTCCTAGCTGCAAGACAGCTGAAAACTGGCTCTGAGAGACTCCTCCAAAGGGGGCATACAGAGGGCTTCCCCCCACTCCTGCCTGCAACACACATGAGAGGCCAGAGCCCCATGCTCCCTATGCCGCGCCTCGCCAGGCTGCTCAGGAAGCGGAGGGAGAGACCTGGCTCTCACATCAGGGGAAAGGCTGGGAAGCCACAGCTTTCACCAAGACCATGGGCCATGAGTTACCCTGAGGCATTTTGCAAGACAGGCCTTTTACCAAGTGCTGTCCTATGAAAAATCATCCCAAAGCGCTGCTTCCCTGGCATGCTCGGGAGAGGGTGGCACAAATGGACTTTCTTTCCTGGGGCTTTATGTTCACTTTCTATTTTGGACAGAGATACTTATTTGAAATTTGCTTCTCTTTCAGGTTCTCCTGATTACTGCACCTTAAGATTTAAAGCAAGTGTTATCATTTTAAATCACCATTTAACAATACTCACTGTTCTCCCTCTATTAAAAAGGAGGGATATCTTACTTCCACTGTGGATCTAAAATATTCCAGCAATTTTAATGTGATGTGCAAGCTTAGGTTTGTCCACACATACTAGGTGAGCATGTTGCTTACAGACCTTCTATTTAAAAGCCAGTGCCCCCTCTTCAGGGGGAAGGATGAGGAGAGCACAGGGCTGGGAGCACACTCCTGCTCACTAAATTCTGTTGTGCTATCCCAGTGCCAGCTCATGAAAAGCTATGTGACTCTGAATAGACTAAACATCTCACACTGAGGAATAACACATGGGATGGAAAGAGCCCATCTCAACTACCAGAGCTCAGTGCATACATAGTCACTACAATCATATTTATCAGTGTGGCTCTCATCAGAACGCGGCCACTACAATCATCTGAAGACAGAGAGCGCTGGGATACCCTGTGTGGGGATCTACCCTTTGAAAAACATCCTTGGAGGTGCTGTCTAAATCCCTTCTCAAATATTCCAGTTCACCTGCACTCAATTTATAGAGCAGAAGAATATTTTTCTAACAGCAATAGCCACACACCCTCCGTTCTTCCTTCAATATCTTTTCCTACTTCTTCCAGCATCTCTAGAAATAAATCTGCAGGGGGAAATTAGGCAGCGTTTACAGAGGGAGATAAAGCGTCAGGTTCCTCTTCCACAGCTGGATACATCTCATGGTCTACCAAGAACTTAAAACTAAAATGTGCAAAGAGCAATTCTGGGGACTGAGAAAGAACCACCTGCACAGTCACTTCAGGGACGTTGCTGTAACTTAGCCACACTGCTGGGCTCCAGCACAAGTACTTGCACTGCAGCTTGGAAAGTTCACAGTGGGTCCGTGTCACCGTCAAGCAGGCAGGGCCAGTCTGCAGGCCGGGAGAGCTCGCGAGGCACACGAGTAGAGCGCAGGTGCTGGTGCCTCGCTGGTGCTGGAGCTGCTCTTGTAGCTGCTCCCTAGGCTGGGAACTGCTGGGTGCTGCAAATCCTGAGCTGAGCAAGAAAGACATCCAAGAGCAGATGCTGGCTCTGCTGTGTTATTGGGATATGGCTGTGCACGCGTGTGGCTTGGCCTCATCTCACAGCAGAGCGATGGGGTCCCTGGGGAGATATTCATCTCCTGCCTCCAAACTGCTCCCTGCCTCTGCTCCACCACTCTCCCCCAGACCAGGTGGGAAAGGGCTTTTGGCTCTCTGAGAGATGAAAACCACAGCAGACAGCCAAGATGGTGAGGCAAGCTGACCCCACTCACCTTATTCTAGGACCGGCTATGAAAAAAAAATCAGAAAAAAAAAAAACCAAAAACATAATTCTGCATAAACCATGGCCATCATCTCATTTACCAGCAGCCCAGAGAAGCTGATATGGCTGTTTGCAGTCAGAGACTGTAGCACCATCCAATTTCTGCATCCTTCCTGGTCTAGTCCAAGGGTAATACCTGACTTTTATCAGTGAAGTGAGGATGGCAGTACACTCCAAGAAAACAAAAATAAATCACACCTTCTCATTCCTTGGTGCATTCACAGCAGTACCTTTTTACCTCTGGCTACGGCCTGAAACATTACTGCAAGTTCCTCTAAGGAGTCACTCAGGGAGCAGAAATTCACCCGTGGTTCCACCTTTCCTTTCCAAACACGTGCACATACACACACACACACAAACGCAAACTGATTACTGTTTCCTGGGATGTCAGTGGTTTCTGAATGCTTGAAGTTGATGGAGCACTTCATTTGCAGCTGAGCAGAGCATAAATCCTGGCCCTAGCAGGGGGAATATTAATTGTAACAAAGCTGCCAGAGCCAGAGGAGCCAGGCAGCTTGTGTTCTTCTAATTAAAGGTTCATGCCGTCTGCAGCAGGAAGCCGAGCAATCCAAACCTAGCAGGTCCATCCAGCAGGCTCACGCAGAGTCCATTGCGGAGAGGTGCATCCCTGTGTCATTGCTACTGCCTTAGGTAGTGGCAGGGGGAGGTAGCATTTACTAGAGGTGTTGACTTTTAATTAAATCCTCTCTATTAATATTTGAAAAGCACTCTGAGTTCCAGGGAACATGGGAGGCCAAGGGCACGGAAGGGCATGCCACGTCCGCTCCTAGGAGGCTCTCCCACTCGCTTGCATGGGAGGGCTCCTTGCCACAGCTGAGCTGTCCTGCTCAGTAGCTGGTTCCTTGGCCTCTGGCTAGTGGCAGGATGTTATCTAGGAAACGTTGTTCTGGGAATACTATCTCCAGAGGCAATCACTCACCCACTGGCTGGAGGGAGTGTTTTGCTGTTACATGCCTGGTTTCCCCCCTCCACCCCTCCTCCAGACTTGTTTCTGTGGAGCAAATCTCATTTTCCAGAGCTGTCCCATCTCTATACGTACGACTGTTACGGTGCAGAGCTCTTGCAGGGTCCTCTGCTGCGGCTCCTGGCTGCCGAAGCTGGAGTTGCCCTCACACAGGTCAGAGCAGTTTAATCCCAGCTCCATAGCACATCCTTAGCCTTCATCCAGCTGTATCCTCTCAGCAGGCCGGAAGACGAGGGCAGGCGCCGGCGCATCAGCCGGCTGCGCGGGTCGCCCCTCAGCGCGTGGGGGTCCAGCCCAGGCCCGGCCTCGCTGTGGTGCCCCGTGGCAGTGGTGCCTCCCCGCCTGCAAAAACCAGCGCACAGGGTGAGTGCGGGTGGCGCTCTGGGTGTGCGGGCAGCCAATGCAGCGAGGGCCCCGCCGCCCCTACGGAGCCCACTGGCACGGACACGACGCGCTGCCTGGGGACCTGCGCTGGCTCCAGCAAGTGGCTCTGCTCCCTCCGTGAAGGACGTGTGGAGGGGGGAGTCACTCGTGCCCACACACGCACCCTGCGGCCCCGCAAGCTGCTGCAGTTGTCCTTTGCTCAAGAGTTATCCCACAGCAGCAGATTTTAAGAGCATTTCTTTGCAGCTTCCCCATGACCACCCCTGTGGCTGGCAGCTTCCCCATGACCACTCCAGCTGGCAGCTGCTGCTGATTTCCTAGAGCGTTGAAGGCAAAAACCAGCAACAAGTGTTGCCCCTACTTCTTGTAGCCCAAACCCAGGCCTGGGCAAACAGCGAAGTAACATGTTTGGCTTAAACATATACTAAAGCATTTTGGTGGGTTTGGTGTGAGCAACAGCACAGCTAGCTCAGGAGCAGCCTGTTTATTAAGCAGATTTATAAGCCTGACATCTCTGGGCTTCCCGTCTCTTGCAGCGCTCTTGCTGTCAGGTATTGTGTCTGTCTGCAACAGGTCCTCTTGCACCACCTTTGCCTCCACTCCCTCTTTCATTTAATTTCTTTTTTAAATAGGTCTCATTACCATTTTAGACATGAGGTCATCCTTATCCTCAAGCATCCTTACTCAGTTACCATTGTCACCGGTTTTAATTGGCTTCCACCACACAGCCGTAAGCAAGACTCCCAAGTTAGTAGCTGGAAAAGCCGTGTGACAGATCCCCCTGTATTTGCTCATGACAACAGGTGGGAGGGAAATATTATTTAGGCCTCTGAGGCCCCAGCCCAAGACCATCAAGGTGAGCAAGCCCGGCATCCAAAATCAGAATTGCCCCCGCTGAAGTCGAAGCTCCTTCCTGGCAGCACTGTCGGGGTGCTATTGTGCTAGATGCCGTCCTGCCCGAAACAGGCCTGTCGCCAGCACTACATCAGGGCAGCCATGGCTAGAACCTACAAACACCATTTAGACTCATGCTCAGATTTTGCACAGGTTTTTTACCAGGAGGGCTGAGGAAAGCCAGCTCTGTCAAGCCCCCCTGTCCCTCTACTTTACCTCAAGCTATGGCAGCATTTCCTCCGCAGCAGAGCACCCTTTGGAGGTTTCTACAGGCTCATTGCATGGGTTAAATATCAGAGCACAGGTGCTGTTGCAAGAGAGATCCAGCTGCTGTGGGGATGCCAGATATTATGAGAACGATCTCAGGTTGAGGAAGGGCAGGGGTGAGGAGGAGACATGCTCAAGATGAACAATTTAGAGCAAATGCCAATAACTGAGGAGATGTGCACATGGATTTTTCCCTGCCTCTGGGGACAGTGATGAGAGAAGGTCACTGGCGCTTTGCTGTCAAGAGGATAGGCAGCTTGAAGGCAGGCAAACATCGCCCCTCACCCTCCTCCAGCAGCCACCTTAGCCCAGATGGTCCCCCCGTCCTTGAGGCCCCATGCCTGGGTGCCAAGAAGCTCCTCTTCTGCTCCCGTGGAGGCAAACACCCTTCTGCAGTGAGGCAGCTCCTAGGGGCTGCTGCCGAAAGGGTCCACAGGCCGCCTGCTCCAGGCGCTGGCGCCTCACCAAGCAGCCCAGCTGTAGCGCAGAGGCCAAAGGCGCGAGGAGAGGACGCCGGGGGCTCTCAGCATCCACCAAAGGTCGGGCCTGCCAGTCACACGCAGCCCAAGGCAGCAGAGCATCAGGCAGGGCCAGCCTGCGTGGCACAGTGGTCCCGTGGGGCTGTCGCCGCGCTGCTGTAGCAGCCAGGCAGGTCGCTATCAACCGCAGCACCAGCTCTGCGAGCAAAACCTCTGCCCAGGCACAAAGGGACCCTTTTCGACAGGGTCTGGGGCCGGGAGCATCCCATCAGCTCTCTGCCATTCGTCACTTACAGGTAAGAGCAGGCAGGTCTAAGCGACAGGGCCGGCTCCGCTTCCGGAGCGGCTGTGCAGGCTGCAGAGGGACGGCACCCAGCAGGGAGCCTGCATGGGGACGCGCAGCCTCCCTCCCCGGGAGCTGCCCCATTGGCAGGGCTGGCACCACTCAGGGTTTCCACGGTCCCTGTCTGCTCAGAAGCACTTCCACACTGTTATGCAAATGGCCCCTGTTGCAAATGGCCATGCTGATAAAAGCCGGTCACTCGGCACAATTAGCGCTCATTAGTATGCAATAACGTGAGCGCGAACATGAACGTTGCCAAAAGGCGGCTGACGCTTCCACTCCGGCTCCTTTCCCCTAACTAGGGCCAGCACGAACCACGTGG